TCACAAATTTGTTTGGGCACCCGATTTTTTGGAGGATGGTCCAGAGAGCGCTGCGATTCACTGTGTCGAATGCCTTTGCAAGGTCGATGAATGCCATGTACAGAGGTTGGTTTTGTTCTCTGCATTTTTCTTGGAGCTGTCTTGCAGTGAAGATCATGTCCACGGTTCCTCTGGAGGGGCGGAAGCCGTTCTGGGATTCTGGGAGGGTGTCTTCTGAGAGGGGCAGAAGGCGGTTTGCAAGGATTCTTGCGAGGATTTTCCCAGCGGAGGTTAGAAGGGAGATACCTCGATAGTTTCCACAGTCTGTTCTTTCCCCTTTTTTAAAGAGGGTGATGATGGTGGCGTCCTTGAAATCTGCTGGGATTTTCTCGGTCACCCACACTTTTTCTATGAGCTGGTGGAGTTGGTGTGTCAGCTCAGGTCCTCCCTCTTTAAAGATTTCAGCAGGGATCCCATCTGGTCCACTGGCTTTGTTATTCTTCTTTTGGCTGATGGCATTGCTGACTTCTTCCAAACTAGGCAGTGCTGCAAGCTCATCCCTGGTTTGTTGTTGCGGGATTTGTGAGAGGACCTCTTCGGCCACATTGGAGCTGCGGTTCAGGAGGTTTTGGTAGTGTTCTTTCCAACGTAGTGCAATTGAGTTTTGGTCCTACTGATGTATACTGAATAAAATCACCATCATGTAAAACTGCATACATACACAATAATTTACAGGCTGCACATTCATTATCCAGAATTCTGATATACTCCATAATTTGTAATTGTCTGCATTGGTGGTAACATTTTTGCTTTCTGGTTGTTCAATACACACAAACTTTTTTTCACTAGCAAAATTATTTCAAATATTGTATAAAATTACTGTCAGGCTTTGTTTGTGCCCTCAATATCCAACATATCTCATTCTGTATGTATATAAAATACAAATATTCCAAAATCCAAAACTATTCTGGCCCCAACCATTTCAAATGAAGAACTTAACTGGAATATTTATATTCCACTTATCCCGCTCCCCAAACAGATCCAAGATAGTTTAAAACAAGTTTAAAAGAAGGCAGTGCAAAAATCCAGATAATAAAACATTAAAACACTGTGTTCTTTGTAACACAGTTAACTTATCAAGCAAATTTAGCACCACCACTGCAAATTTGGGAAACCTAGCTTGACGACATATTCTCAGAAACACAGTTTTCCCAAGGTAAAAAGAAAGTGAAATAATTAGTCTTTTATTTATTTTGAGAAAAACATAAACAGAAGAGCCAAGATGGTTCTTTGTTTGCTACATGGTGTCTCCACTATGAATTGCACTGTTTGCAATATCAAGCATTAATTATGAAACATTTTCTACACAGCATTTGAGGATTTGCCAGGTGACTCCCATTAGTGTCAATCAGGCAATTAATTCTAGTGCATTGGTTTTAAAATTTTATGTCTGTATCAAACATTAATGAAACATCTGTTACTTTCAAGACTGTTTTTCTCCCTTTTACATTCAGACCCCGAAAACCTGATGGATTATCAACAAACTTGAACTTTTCACTGCAGTGTTCAACCTAACAAATTCATGCAGTACATTCTAATCTTGCTCTACCAGCCTCAACTGAATGTTATTCTTTTTAGTTGCAATTACCAACACATTCTACAAAAATACATAATTTGCATTGGTTTCTTCTATTATTTCCTTATATACCAGCAACAGTCAATATGGCCACTTTACTTATTATACTGGGTTATTGCTCCTTCCTTATGCGGTCCCTCTTTGACCGAGTAGGATTGTCTTCCAAGATTGGTGTACTGGCGGTGGGTTCGTAGGTGACTGTGAAGCCATATTCTTGATCTGCATGTTCTCCCACAGTAAGGGCATTGGTTTCCAGGTGGAAGGCAGTCCCAGTCGGGGTTGGCTTGACGCGCCTTCCTCTTGGCACATTTCTCCCTTTCGCCCTCCATTCATGCCCCTTCAAATTATACAGCGCTGCTGGTCACAGCTGACCTCCAGCTGGAGTGTCTATGCCAGAGTTTTTAAGTTTGGCTTTGAGCCCATCTTTAAATCTCTTTTCTTGTCCACCAAATTCCGTTTTCCGTTCTTGAGTTCAGAATAGGGCAACTGCTTTGGGAGATGGTGGTTGGGCATCCAGACAACATGGCCGGTCCAGCGGAGTTGATTGCGGAGGAGCATCACTTCAATGCTAGTTGTCTTTGTCTCTTCCAGCACGGTGACATTTGTCTGCTTGTCTTTCCAAGAGATTTGCAGGATTTTTCAGAGGCAATGCTGATGGAATTGTTCCAGGAGTTGCATGTGACATCTGTAGATAGTCCATGTCTCACATTTTTCTGAATGAAGCACAGAGTGTTACTGCTCCATCCAGCCACAAACCAGAAACTCCAGGTTCAAAAGTCAAATATCTTTCAAACACAGCCAACTCAAGGTATTTAGAGAAGAGTAATTTCAGTTGGCTCTTATTTATATTCAGGGGTCTTTAAAAGGTCTGTGTAACTGTTATGGGATTCAATCCATTTCTTGCTCTTGAGTAGAAAAGCGGGACCTCCAAATTCCGTCAGCTGCCACCACTCACTAATTGCTCCTGGGAGTTCACTGAATGAGTGGGAAGTCACCTGGGAGTTTATGTTGCCCTTTTTCCGCCTTTGACTTTGTAAAGTCTTTCCCTTCCCCTCCAACATAAGATAAGAATCCTGTAATACATATGCATACACACCGAGCAGGATACATGGAGAGAGTGTGGAATTATTTTTTTTTTTAGGAAAAGCTATATTCTAAGCAAGCAATCTTACATCAGCAAAAGCTATCTTGTACATGAAGACACCTTCCTTCAGGCTTTGCTTTGGAATAATTTACAAGAACAGTCTAAAATTCTATTCACCAGGGGCTGGAAAGAAACCTAAGTGCTAAAGTGACTTTACTGCTGTATTCAGGATACAGATGATGTTCTAAATTTTTGGATGCTCATGGGAAGCTGTAACTCTAGATCCCCTTGTCTAGCCCATAGCCAAGCCTCCTTAGGGACGGCAATGCACACAGCACTTCCTCTAGGTCTCCATCAGGCCCAAAGTCTCTCAAACTCTCGCATATACTGTATATACTCAAGTATAAGTCGACCCAAATAGAAGCTGAGGCAATGCAGCAGATACTGGTAAATTTAAAAATAAATACATACCAATAAAATTAAATTAATTGAGGCATTAGTAGGTTAAATGCTTTTGAATATTTACATAGAACTGTAATTGAAGACTGTCCAACTCTGATTAAACCATTATTCTAATCTTCAATGTAAATGTGCTTACGTATCCTTCCAATAATAAAGAGAATAAAATATTAAATGTAATAATAGAGTAAAGTAATAAATGTAATAATAATAATGAAGCAAAATAATAAATGAAATAACACTAATAGAGTATAATAATAAATGTAAAATGTAAAAAATAATAATAACAGAGTAAAATAATAAATAATTTTGAATTGAGTATAAACCAAAGAGGACCTTTTCAGCCTAAAAAAGGGGCTAAAAAACCCAGCTTATACTCAAGTATATATGGTACTTCTCATCTTGGAAGAATCTTGGCAATTTCACATTTTCCGCACCCTAGTCACCTTCACAGGGGAACTGTCAGTTGGAGTTTGAAGGCACAAGTTTTTCATTTAAGTGTACTACTGGATTCTGCCATAAACCTGGGCAATAATGTTTCAGCAGTGGCCAAAAGAACATATTATAATTAAAACTACTGCACCAGCTCTACACACTTCTGGGGAGGTCTGATTATCATGGTGAGTGAAGTCGCGTTGAGTCTTCTTGTGGAGAGAAAAGCAGGATATAAATAAACATTATTGTTGTTGTTGTTGTTGCTACTGCTGCAATGCATTCAAAGTGGGGTGCCTTTGAGAAGTGCTTAGAAACTTTAGCTGGTCCAGAATTGCAGTCGGATTGTTAACTGGGACTGGATAGAGGTAGTGTGCAGCCCTCTTCTTACAACAATTCCACTGGTTTGCAGTATGTTTCCAAACACAATTAAAAGTGTTGGTTGTTGTTTATTCGTTCAGTCACTTCCGACTCTTCGTGACCTCATGGACCAGCCCATGCCAGAGCTCCCTTTCAGCCATCACCTCCCCCAGCTCCTTCAGAGTCAAGCCAGTCACTTCAAGGATACCATCCATCCATCCATCTTGCCCTTGGTCGGTTTTAAGATTAGAGTTCCAGTGCCTTAACAAGCTGCATATGCCAGAGTGTCATACCACAGGATGCAGCCATATGGAAATATAGTTTATAATAGTGAAAATATCCTACTGTATTTCTGCCTATCCCATAACATAGCCATTTGGGAAGGACACAGCTTGGGCAAATCCTAAAGACTCATGACATTGAAACAGAATCATAACCTCTCATCTGCTTCTAGGAGAGTTTGTTGACTGTCATCACCCAAATAACGTTTCCCACTCCTGTTGTAAATGTTTACTCCAACAATGTATATGAAGCACCATGAACAATTACAAATGTGATGTTTTGTATTATATATTATTATAAATACAGTATGCAATATTATAATATATTTTTACATTATACTTGTATTTGTCAACTGTACTTTAAAATATAAAACCTCTTCTTTCTAATAGGGTTTCCTTGGGGTTTGTAAACTTTATCCTAAATAAGACAACAAAACCTGAATTGTTGAGTCCCAAAACATTGGTGCAAAACATACATGACTAAACTTGAAAATGAAATGTATTATTAAAAATATGGATTTACATGAAATTCCCTTTGATGACTGGATTGAGATGGTACTATTTATAACAAATGTATAAAAATTGAGCACAATAGCAATAAAGGAATTCCTAATTTATCCTTTTCCTCCAGTATTCCTCCAGTATAATGGAACTACCTTCCACTATAGCACCAGATCTACTGAAACCAACACATTGTTCCCTCTCACATACAAACACGTAGGCAACCATTTTAAATCTATACTGCCACAAGAATTAGATGGTCACTTACCGAATCATTTGCTGCCAGTGCAAGGGCTAGATTTACTGAAAGAGAGAATGACAGAAAACAATATTAGATTTTCAAAAGTATTAACCATCTTCAAGAAGGAAAAAAGTGATTTTGTAACAATGGGCAACAAAAGCCATCTTACCAAATATGAAATATGTAATATAAGAAACCTACACCATGCAGCTGTAGACAAGTCTACATAGCGACCACCAAACGCAGCGTCCAAACACAAATCAAGGAACATGAAAGGCACAGCAGACTAATTCAACCTGAGAAATCAGCCATAGCAGAGCACCTGATGAACCAACCTGGACATGGCATATTATTTGAGAACACAGAAACATTGGACCATACTAACAACCACCATGTCTGACCACACAGAGAAACCCTTGAAATCCACAAGCAGGGGGACAATTTCAACAGAAAGGAGGAAATCATGAAAATGAACAAAATTTGGCTACCAGTATTAAAAAAGACTCTAAAATTAGCATAGTAATTAAAGAACAAAACTCAAAAAGCAGATGATTTCCTGACATGAAACAATCAGGGCCAGCTAACACCTCCCAACAAAGGATTTCCCACCCAGGAAGCAGCCAGGCTTTGAAGCTGCAAGGTCATTAAATGCTAATCAAGGTGGCAATTGCAACATTCACACTTGCCTCAAACAGACAAGAGTTCTTTCTCCCACCCTAGACATTCCACGGATATATAAAGCCCATTTGCCTAGTTCCCAACAGACCTCACAACTTCTGTGGATGCCTGCCGTAGAGGTAGGCGAATGTCAGCAGAGAATGCTCCTGGAACATGGCCATACATCCCGGAAAACTCACAGCAACCCAACCTACATATACATTGGAACTTTGGTTACCATGGTTCAAGGACATATTAAGCATCTTTGGCCCATGTTAACCCGGTTCAGCTCCATGCATCATTTAGCCACCATGGAGCTGATTCGCTGGCTCCTCACACTAATACACATAAATGCGACCTTAACTTGGGTGAGATTCCAAGAAGGACAAGTAGAACTTGATGTACAATAGGACTTTCTTAGGCCTTGCTTCCCCCTGCAGCCACCCTCTGAAAATCAATACCTGAGAATTGAGGGAACCTGAACATTGCCAGGCCAGATCAGAACATTGGCCAATCCGAATTGGGACTGCTTTTTACATATAGAAGCTCTTTTCTGTTCATGAAATAAACCTTTGGAACCAGATCTTTATTTATAAGATAGATTTCTAAACCATGACTGTTTTTCTAGTTACTTTGTCATATAATTTTACAATGACAGAATTAGCCAGAATGAAAAGGAGGAGATATGTCAGTGGAAAAATTAAGGAATCAAGCAGCACCTTTTAGGCCCCTTCTACAATACCATTTAAAATCCAGATTATCTACTTCGAATTGGGTTATATGACAGTGTAGACTCATATAATCCAGTTGAAAGCAGATAATGTGAATTATTGCTTTGATAATCTGAATTATATGGCAGTGTAAAAGGGGCCTTAGACTAATTCACTTCTTCAGAGGCATATATCCTTTGTTTTTATACTGAGACAGATGGGCAAGTTATCTCTAAGAATCAGCTAAAATAAAAGAGCAGTTGGCTTCTCAAAACAGCTAGAGATAACCAAATCCCCGAGAATCCAACAATGTAGCAACCATTCAAGTAGTCAGCTATTAGTTGTAGATCACCAACACACTACAGCAGAGTTTTTCAAACATTTCATGTTAATAACACACCTTTTTAGACATGGATCATTTCACAACAAAGAAATTCAGTTTTACTAGCAAACCAGAGGTTAAACCAATCCCTTTAAAAAAAATACAGAGACATACATAAATTGTAATAACAGAATGTATGGGCACACAACATATCTCATGTAAATCTTCTGTTTATATTTTTTGAAAATATATGATTTATTGCTTATCTCACATAAACCCAAAGGTTTCTTGTTAACTTCATGCAACATACCTACAACCTGCTGCCAACACACTAATATATCAAGACACAGAGTTTAGAAAGCTCTGCTCTACAGGAATATTTTGTTTTCACAACAATTAATATTTTAGCAACTTTTGCAAACCAGCCTATTTAACTGTTGAAACATACATAGCACATTCCAGATTATTAATGAGTATTAAGTAAAAGCACATCATTTATACTTATAATTATTGATAGCAAACCCACCTAGGGCGAAGAATTGAGCAGCAGAGTATGTCTCTGTGATGAAGGATGAAGTAGCAGTTATGTTTAAAGACGCAACACTGCATAAGCAGAGAAACAGGTTTCTGGGAAACCTGTTTAATAACAATTGTTGTTGTTGTTCATTCGTTCAGTCGTCTCCGACTCTTCGTGACCTCATGGACCAGCCCACGCCAGAGCTCCCTGTCGCCGTCACCACCCCCAGCTCCTTCAAGGTCAGTCCAGTCACTTCAAGGATGCCATCCATCCATCTTGCCCTTGGTCGGCCCCTCTTCCTTTTGCCTTCCACTTTCCCCAGCATAATTGTCTTCTCTAAGCTTTGCTGTCTCCTCATGATGTGGCCAAAGTACTTCAACTTTGTCTCTAGTATCCTTCCCTCCAGTGAGCAGTCGGGCTTTATTTCCTGGAGGATGGACTGGTTGGATCTTCTCGCAGTCCAAGGCACTCTCAGAACTTTCCTCCACACCACAGTTCAAAAGCATCGATCTTCCTTCGCTCAGCCTTCCCTAAGGTCCAGCTCTCACATCCGTAGGTTACTACAGGGAATACCATGGCTTTGACTAGACGGATCTTTGTTGTCAGTCTGATGTCTCTACTCTTTACTATTTTATCGAGACTGGACATTGCTCTCCTCCCAAGAAGTAAGCGTCTTCTGATTTCCTGGCCACAGTCTGCATCTGCAGTAATCTTTGCGCCTAGAAATACAAAGTCTGTCACGGCCTCCACGTTTTCTCCCTCTATTTCCCAGTTGTCAATCATTCTTGTTGCCATAATCTTGTTTTTTTTTATGTTTAGCTGCAACCCAGCTTTTGCGCTTTCTTCTTTCACCTTGATTAGAAGACTCCTCAGCTCCTCCTCGCTTTCGGCCATCAGAGTGGTGTCATCTGCATATCTGAGGTTGTTAATGTTTCTTCCGGCAATTTTTACCCCAGCTTTGCATTCATCAAGCCCCGCACATCGCATGATGTGTTCTCCATACAAGTTAAAAAGGTTGGGTGAGAGTATGCAGCCTTGCCGTACGCCTTTCCCAATCTTGAACCAGTCTGTTGTTCCGTGGTCAGTTCTGACTGTTGCTACTTGGTCCTTGTACAGATTCCTCAGGAAAGAGACAAGGTGGCTTGGTATGCCCATCCCACCAAGAACTTGCCACAATTTATTATGATCCACACAGTCAAAGGCTTTAGAATAGTCAATGAAGCAGAAGTAGATGTTTTTCTGAAACTCCCTGCCTTTCTCCATTATCCAGCGTATATTGGCAATCTGGTCTCTCGTTCCTCTGCCTTTTCTAAACCCAGCTTGAACATCTGGCAACTCTCGCTCCATGTATTGCTGGAGTCTTCCTTGCAGGATCTTGAGCATTACCTTACTGGCATGAGAATAAGGGCCACTGTACGGAAGTTGGAGCAGTCTTTCGCATTTCCCTTTTTTGGTATGGGGATATAAGTTGATTTTTTCCAGTCTGATGGCCATTCTTGTGTTTTCCATATTTGCTGGCAAATGGCATGCATCACCTTGACAACATCATCTTTTAAGATTTTAAACAGTTCAGCTGGGATCCCGTCATCTCCTGCTGCCTTGTTGTTAGCAATGCTTCTTAAGGCCCATTCAACCTCACTCCTCAGGATGTCTGGTTCTAATTCATTCCCCACACTGTCAAAACTATCCTCAATATTATTATCCTTCCTATACAGATCTTCTGTATAGTCTCGCCACCTTCTCTTGATCTCTTCAGCTTCTGTTAGGTCCCTGCCATCTTTGTTTCTTATCATACCAATTTTTGCCTGAAATTTACCTCCAATGTTTCTAATTTTCTGGAAGAGGTCTCTTGTCCTTCCTATTCTGTTGTCTTCTTCCACTTCCATTCATTGCTTATTTAAAAATAGTTCCTTATCTCTTCTGGCTAACCTCTGGAATTGCGCATTTAACTGGGCATATCTCCCCTTATCACTGTTTCCTTTTGCTTTCCTCCTTTCTTGGGCTACTTCCAGTGTCTCAGCAGACAACCATTTTGCCTTCTTTGTTTTCTTTTTCTTTGGGACGTACTTTGTTGCCGCCTCCTGAACAATGTCATGGACTTCTGTCCATAGTTCTTCTGGGACTCTGTTTACTAAATCTAGTCCTTCAAATCTGTTCTTCACTTCCACTGTATATTCGCTAGGAATGTTAGTGAGATCATATCTAACTGGTCTGTGTATTTTCCCTGATCTCTTTAGTTTTATTTTAAATTGAGCAATAAGAAGGTCGTGATCTGAGCTACAGTCAGCCCCAGGTCTTGTTTTCACCGACTGGATGGATGTCCGCCACCTTTGGCTGCAAAGGATGTAGTCAATCTGATTTCGGTGCTGACCATCTGGTGAAGTCCATGTGTAAAGCCGTCTTTTAGGTTGTTGGAAAAGAGTATTCGTTATACACAGCGAGTTTTCCTGGCAAAATTCTATCAGCCTGCGTCTCGCTTCATTCTGTTCTCCCAGACCATGCTTGCCTGTGATCCCTGTTGTCATTTGACTTCCCACCTTGGCATTCCAGTCTCCTGTAATGAAAATAATGTCTCTTTTTGGTGTATTATCCAGTAGGTCCTGCAGATCCTCATAGAAGTGATCTACTTCTGCTTCTTCAGCAGCTGTGGTTGGGGCGTATATTTGGATTACTGTGATGTTGAAAGGCTTTCCTTGCACTCGAATTGAGATCATTCTGTCATTTTTTGGGTTGTATCCAAGCACCGCTTTAGCGAATTTCTTATTAATTATGAAGGCTACTCCTTTCTTCGATGTTCCTCTTGTCCGCAGTAGTAGATCTGGTGGTCATCTGATGTGAAGTGGCCCATTCCAGTCCATTTCAGTTCGCTGACCCCCAGAATGTCTATCTTTAGTCTTGACATCTCACCAATAACAACATCCAATTTGCCCTGGCTCATAGATCTTACATTCCAGGTTCCTATGGTGTGTTGATCTTTAGAGCATCGGATTCGTCGTTCACCTCCAGTACCGTCGGCCGCTAGCCTTCCTTTCGGCTTTGAGCTAGCTGCGTCATCACATCTGGGGCTAGTTGAACTTATCCTCTGCTCCTCCCCAGTAGCATTTTGGCCATCTTCCGACCTGGGAGTCCCATCTTCCAATGGCATACCGACATATCTCTGGTTGTACTGGTCCATTTAGTTTTCTTGGCAAGGATACTGGGGTGGTTTGCCATTGCCTTCCCCAGGGATCACGCTTGGTCTGACCTCTCTGCCACGACCGTCCCGTCTTGGGTGGCCCTTCACGGTTTCGCTCATGACATCATTGAGGTGCTCAAGCTCCAGCGCCACAACAAGGCGGTGATCCTTTGCTGGAGTTAATAACAATACTAAGTAACTTTCCTTTAAATTCATCTGTGATACAAAATAACTAATTGAAATAAATTAAGTTTATAAAGTAATTTGCATTTTTAAATGAAACAGGGAAACTTAATTAAATTTATCTCCTAATTAAAATGATTGACTTAGGTTGGAATTTCAGCATAACTCAGATTTCAGGATCATGTTGTTAATTAAGTTAAATAATTAAATGTGACACAGTGCTAAAGAATTGGCAACCTGCATTTTCCAGGTGGTTTTGTTCACAAGCACTGGTGCTTTTCCCTCTCTGCAGAATCCCCTTTGATTTATTCATGGATCATATATACATAATGGTGGCCCCAGAACCTGACCTCAACTAATACATACAGTCAACTTATACCAGAGAGTGTTTGAGGATCGGGACATCCATAAGGATAACAAGGTGCTTGTTTATACAGCTATTATCCTCCCAACCCTATTATACGCCTGCGAAACATGGACCATCTACAGACGTCACACTCAACGCCTGGAACGATTCTATCAGAGTTGCTTCCAAAAAAAATCCTGCAAATCTCTTGGGAAGACAGATGACAGCATGCTGGAAAAAGCAAAGACCACCAGCATTGAAGTGATGCTCCTACGCCATCAACTCTAGTGGTCACATTGTCCGAATGCCCTATCACCATCTTCTAAAGCTGTTACTATACTCCCAACTCAAGAATGGAAAATGGAATGTTGGAGGACAGGAAAAGAGATTTAAAGATGGGCTTAAAGCTAACCTTAAAAACTGTGGCAAAGATACAGAGAACTTTTTTTTTTTATCATGTCAGGAGCGACTTGAGAAACTGCAAGCTGCTTCTGGTGTCAGAGAATTGGCCGTCTGCAAGGACGTTGCCCAGGGGATGCCCGGATGATATGATGTTTTTATCATCCTTGTGGGAGGCTTCTCTCATGTCCCCACATGAGGAGCTGGAGTTGATAGAGGGAACTCATCCGCCTCTCCCTGGATTCCAACCTGCGACCTGTTGGTCTTCAGTTCTGTCGACACAGGGGTTTAACCCACTGCGCCACCGGGGGCTTCTTACACAGAAAACTGGGAAGCCCTGGCCCTTGAGTACTCTAGCTGGAGGTTAGCTGTTAAGAGCAGTGCTGTGGAATTTGAAGAGGCACAAATGGAGGGCGAAGGGGAGTAATGGGCCAAGAGGAAGGGGCATCAAGCCAACCCTGACCGGGACCATCTTCCACCTGGAAACCAATGTCCTCACTGTGGAAGAACATGCGGGTCAAGAATAGGGCTCTACAGTCACCTACATATCTACCGCCAAGACACTACACTTGGAAGGCCATCATATTTGGACACCGAGGAATCGCCTAAGTAAGTAAGCAAGTGCAGCCCATGGGCCACATGGAGCCCTCAAGGCTCTTTTTATAACATCAAGGACCTCACATAATTTTCATTATGTTTTGGGCCTCAGGCCATTTTAGCACTGCTCTTCACAGCTAACCTCCAGCTAGAGTGCTCAAGGACAAGGGCTTCCCAGTTTTCTGTGTAAGGAGCCCCCGGTGGCGCAGTGGGTTAAACCCCTGTACCGGCAGGACTGAAGACCGACAGGTCGCAGGTTCGAATCCAGGGAGAGGCGGATGAGCTCCCTCTATCAACTCCAGCTCCTCATGTGGAGACATGAGAGAAGCCTCCCAAAATCATAACTTCTTATCTCTCCCCGGTTTTTTAAAAGGCCTCTCTAAGTCCTAAAATTGTCAGTGGTGAAAATCCTAACAAAATCCATGAAAGTGGAAGAACTATACATTTTTTAAAAACCACTCTATGGAAATTGACCGAGGAGATGCACTGGATAACCTAGAGTTTTCTAGAGCAAACATTTTAATCAAACTATAAATAATCACATCTGCAAAAACAAACAAACAAACCGCAAATGTGAAGGGATAACTATGTAGCCATAAAAATTTGTGGACTTTTGAAAGCTCTAAAGATATTTGAAATACACATGGAAATCCTACAAAATGAAATATGCCTTAAGAACTTAAAATATTTTTGTTAGCCTAAATCCAATTATTGCTCCTCAGGTGGAATAAACTAATGGAAGTAATGATAAGGCAAAGGGTTCGCTCTGGATGGCACTAGCAACTGGATTTAGGAACAATCTCAAACATACATATATCCAAAACAAGTTAAGGAATGTACATTCCATTTCTTAAGTACAGAAAATGTTTCAGGATTTTACCAAAGCTGAGGTGGATATGAAGTGAGAGATGGGTCTACATGAACATATTATGGTCTGTTTGGGTTCTTTGCAAAACTGCAAGCAGGAACCAACACCAACCTGATTTACTAAACCATGGAATGGATGGTTATTAACTGGATTGTGAAATTTGTTCATCTACTGTAAAATAAAAATGTGTTTAAAGCCTTGGACTAGGACTTGGAAGATCTAGGTTCATATCCCATCCAGAGGAAATTCACTGGGTGACACGAGAGATCTGACTAATAATAGCAAAGCCTCCTGCCTCACAGCAGCATGCAGCCCCACCACCACAGAAAGGCACTTTGCTCTTAAAAAATACGAATTCTTCCTCAGTACTGGCCTAAAGGGAGTATAGCAAGTTGGTTTATTCTTAAGACAAAATAAGTCTAAAACAGGTCTTCTTAAACTTTTCTACCCCGGCCACCTTTTGGCCTGTGAAATGTTTATGTGACCCTAGGTATAACTACTATATACCATAAATAAAATAGCTATATGGATCAAATATTTACTGATAACAAAGCAGCCTTTGTAAGGCTTGCAAAACAGTCTGATTTTCCTTTTTGTAGAACCATCTGAAGCATCTTCTGCAGAGCCCACTGTAAACACTGTACAATAAATTCATGTAAATAACTAAATGCCACTAGGTAACATCTAGAAAGTTTTTACTTTTGCCAAATTTTTCATGACCCCAACATTTAGCTCAGGGAACCCATTTGGACCCACAGTTTAAGAAGCAGTGGTCTGAAGTACGTATCAGTGATAAATAAGAATCTCTTTGCTGCTGTATAGAAAACAACCACCTTCTTTTATGATGGTTCCTGTACCATTGATGAATGTATACTATAGAAGGAATTCATGAAGTTTTGCTTTTTCCCTGGTAACATGACTAGTAAGACATGCCAAAATTACCTCTTCTTGTCACTGTGTGCCTTCACGTCCTCTCCATACATACAACTATAAGGTGACCCTAAATGGCATTTTCTTTTCCATTGTCTTTCTATAAGAAAGAATATGACTTGCCCACACAATTATTAAAAGTAAAGAACACTCTCCACTTTTCATCCTGTTGGCCCTATGCCATCTGCTATCCATACAGCTATAGCAATACTGTAATACTATATTTTATACTACCTAAAACATGCAAGGAAAATCAAAGTAATTAATTACTTAACTTAAGAAATTTTGCACTTACCAGCAGTGGTGGATTTTCCCACACCTCCTTTTCCCGAAGCTACAACCAGTACTTGTTCAACTCCTTCAATTGGCTTTTGCTTTGGAAGTCCTCTAGCCATGATTTTACTCCGCTTATCTTTGAGAACTGCATCCTTTGCATCTGAGGACTTTGAAAGACAAACAAAAAACTCTGTTATGTTACATTGACACCAATTTTTGGAATTTCTTTCAAAACTAGTCAATTAAAGCATCCCGATTCATCCCTGTACTGTTAACTGCCTTTAAGTTGCCTTTGACTTACAGCAATCCTATGGATTAAAGATCTCTAAAGGTGCATCTACACTGTACAATTAAAGCAGTTTGATACCACTTCTGCCCCCAATGACTTGATACCATGGAATCTGAGAAGTTGTTGTTTGGTGAGCCACTGGCACTCTTTGGTAGAGAAAACTAAAGACCATGTAAAACTATAATTCCCATAATTCCACAGCACTGAGCAATGGCAATTGCAGTGGTGTCAAACTGCATTAATTAGATGCACCTCAAGTCACTTGTAGCAGGTCTTGCAGACTCACGGCTGTGGTTTTCTTGACAGAGGGCCCTTCCAGACAGCCATATAACCCAGAATATTAAGGCAGAATAACCCACAATATCTGCTTTGAACTAGAATATCTGAGTCCACACTGCCATATATCCCAGTTCATAGAAGATAATGTGGGATTTTATTCATCTTTGTGGAAGGGGCCTGAGTCTATCCATCTGACATGTGTCTTCCTCTTTTCCTATTGCCCTCCACTTCATCAAGCAATATCGTCTTTGCTAGTGAGCCATGTCTCTTCACTATATTGATATTGACAAGTTGGAATGTATCCAGAGAAGGGCGACCAAAATGATCAAAGATCTCAAAACCATGTCTTATGAGCTGGGTGTGTTTAGCCTGCAGAAGAGAACACTGAGAGGAGACATGACTGCCATGTTTAAACATCTGAAAGGGTGTCATAAAGAAAAAGGAGCAGGCCTGTTTTCTGCTGGCCCTGGAGACTAAGGGCCCTTCCAGACAGGCCTTATATTCCAGGATCTGATCCCAGGTTTTCTATTTATCTGACAGTGGAGATACATATAATCTTAATTCGAGAACCTGGGATCAGATCCTGGGATATAGGACCTGTCTGGAAGAGCCCTAGGACTTGGATCAATGGGTGCAAATTACAGGAGAGGAGATTCCACCAGAACTTAATCACCAAATCTATTAATTTATTGTTAAATTTTACTGATGGTGTTGTATAATGTTTTAAAATGATTTTATTGTGAATTGTAATTTTAATGGTATTTATGCTGTTAGCACCCTCTGATGCTCATGTGAGGCCGCGCTGAGTCCCCCTTGTGGGGAGAAGGGCGGGATATAAATATATGAAATAAATAAATAAATAAACTTCCTGATGATAAAGAACTGTTCAGCAGTGGAACTCTCTGTCACTGAGTGTGATGGAAGCTCCTTCTTTGGAGGTTTTAAAACAGAGGCTGGGTGGCTATCTGTCGGGCTGCTTTGATTGTGCTTTTCCTGCATGGCAAGGGATTGGATTAGATGGCCCACGTGGTCTCTTCCAACTCTATGATTCTGGTTCAAAGTAAAAAAACTCAGTTTAGTCATGATGGTCTCTAGAGAGAGTTCAAGCTTGATCTGCTCTAGGACCCATTTTATTTGTCGTTTTAGCACTCCACAGTTTCCACAGAGCTTTCCCAGCACCACATCAAAAATGAGTTTATTTTCTTCCTGTCAGTTCTCTTCACTGTCCAGCTTTCACACCCATAGGCAGGCAATGGAAATAGTACAAAGGCATGAACAATTCTAACTTCAGTACATCCCTTATCCATAATTTCAAAATAGTTACAGTGTTGTTTTCCAATGTTTCATTGTACACAAACTTTGATTTATGCACACAATTATTTCAAATATTGCATATAAAATTATCAGGTTGTGTGTATAAAGTACAAATGAATTATCAACTAACATGCTTAGATTGGGGTCACACTTCCAAGATTATATTTACAATTATCATCATCACTGTAGATGTTGTTATTATTAATATCCCACTTTTCCTCTCTTACAGGAGACTCAAAGCAGCTAACAGTACAATTTATTGGGTTGCTGTGAGTTTTCCAGGCTGTATGGCCATGTTCCAAAAGCATTCTCTCCTGATGTATGGTCCACAGCTATGGCAGGCATCCTCAGAGGTTGTGAGGTCTGTTGTAAACTAGGCAAGTGAGGTTTATATATCTGTGGAAAATGTTCAGGGAGGAAACTCTTGTCTGTTTAAGGCAAATGTGAATGTTGCAATTGACCACCTTGATTAGCATTTAATGGCCTTGTAGCTTCAAAGCCTGGCTGCCTGCTGCCTGGAGGAATCTTTTGTTACCTGGCCATGATTGATTCTTGTCTGGAATTCCCTTTTTTTTTTTTGGTGTTGCTCTTTATTTACTATTCTGATTTTAGAGTTTATTTAATACTGGTAGCCAGTTTTTGTTCATTTTCCTGGTTTCCTCCTCTCTGTTGAAATTGTCCACATGCTTGTGGATTTCAATGGCTTCTATGTATAGCCTGACATGGTAATTGTTAGAGTGGCCCAAGCGTTTCTGTGTTCTCAAATAATATGCTGAGTCCAGGTTGGTTCATCAGTTGCTCTGCTATGGCTGACTTCTCTGCTTGAAGTAGTCTGCCGTGCCTTTCATGTTCCTTGATTCGTGTTTGGGCAATGCTGTGTTTGGTGGTCTCTAGGTAGACTTGTCCACAGCTGCATGGTAGGAGCCCCTGGTGGCGCAGTGGGTTAAACCTCTGTGTCGGCAGGATTGAAGACAGACAGGTCGCAGGTTTGAATCTGGGGATGAGCTCCTCTATCAGCTCCAGCTCCTCATGCAGGGACATAAGAGAAGCCTCCCACAAGGATGGTAAAAACATCAAAACATCCAGGCGTCCCCTGGGCAACGTTCTTGAAGATGGCCAATTCTCTCACACCAGAAGCGACTTGCAGTTTCTCAAGTCGCTCCTGACACGACAAAGAAAAAAAGCTGCATGGTACACGGTAGAGTCCTGCAGATGTGAGAGGATCCATGCCATAAATGTGGGTGGAACATCAGGAGAGAATGCTTCTAGAACATGGCCATACAGCTCGGAAAACTCACAGCAACCCAGTGATCCCAGCCATGAAAGCCTTGGACAACACAGAGTACAATTTATTGTTACCTACGATGTATAAACAACAAAAGCAATAGAAATTACAATTTAAAATCAACACATAAACACTAACAAATAAACAAACAAACACATAATAAAGACACCTCATTATGCATATGCATATTTATTTCAAAATCCAAAATACTTCTGATCCCAAGCATTTTAGTTATTGAATACTCAACCTATCAGCTTTTTAAAACAACATAAAACAATTGAAAATAAAATAGTATGGCTCATGCTTAGTATTCCATGGCATATCTTTACACTTTACAAGCAATACTGCTTTAATGTTGATATAAATGAACCACCAGTTTAGCCTTAGCTAGAAATAACTCTCAGCATGCAAACCCTGCAGCTGTTACACACAAGCCATGGCAATACTGACAAGAATACATGTGCAACAACTGCTCAAATGGAGAAAACTTACCATTTTTTTCAAGTTTGCCGCCACTACATTCAGCAGCCTTAATGGAAAGAGTTTGCCAGCCATAGATAGATCTCTCTCCTATTCTATCACTATCAAGTGGCATTCCAGCCAAGCAGGAGAGCTGAGATTGTGCCAGAAGACCACCGCTTGGAGCGCTTTAAAAAGGAGTCTGACTGAGAAGAGTTAAAACGATAGAGTCCAGTGGGGATAGAGCGGGCCCTCAGGTTGCTTCCTGGGCAAGATTGAAAACCGGATACACTCAAACCGGAAGTCGTGAGGTAAAAGGGACGTCACGTAAGTCCTGAGAGTTCGAAAGGTATTTCCGGGGAGGGCGCAGTAATGGCGGCGGATAGTTCAGGCCTGGGCAAACTCTGGCCCTCCAAGTGTTTTGGACTTCAACTCCCACCATTCCTAACAGCCTCAGGCCCCTTCCTTTTCCCCCTCAGCCGCTTGCGCGGCTGAGGGGGAAAAGGAAAGGGCCTGAGGCTGTTAGGAATGGTGGGAGTTGAAGTCCAAAACACCTGGCATAGCTGTTGCTCTTTCTCTCCAGAGTTAAGAGGAAAATTCAAGGAAATAGTAGGCCTGTGAGGCGTCTCCCGTGCTGATAACACAGAGGCCCTCGCTCTTTTTGAAGAGGCCGCACCTCATTGGACTCAGACGTGTTTCGACAAGGGCTCCTGAGTGAATGCAGAGACAGCATAGTGTAGAAATTGCACTATTTGTGCACTTCACTGTAAAAATTAGTTGATTTTTATTGTGAACTAGCTGTACCCGCCACGCGTTGCTGTGGCCAACCTTCCCTCTTTCTCCTTCTTTCCTTCCTTCCCGTCTTTCCTTCTCTTCTTCCTTCTCTATCTCTTTCCTTCTTTCCCTTTTCTTTCTCTTCTGCTGTCTCTCTTTTCTTCCTTCTCTCTTTCCTTCTTTCATTCCCTCCCTTTCTCTACATCTTCCCCCTTTCCTTCGCTCCCTCTTTCCTCCCTTCTTTCCCTTTTTTCTTTCCTTCTCTCCTTCCTTCCTTCTCTAACTTTCCTTCCCCCTTTTTCTTTCCCTCCCTCTTTCCTTTCATCCTTCGCTACCTCTTTCCTTCCTTCTCTCTTTGCTTCCATGCTTCCTTCTCCCTTTCCTTCTTTCTTTCCCTCCCTCTTTTGTTTCTTTTTTTCCTCCCCTTTCCTCCCTCTTTCTTCCTTTCTTATGTATTGTCATTTAGCTTTTTAAGTCCCTTCTGCTGTGTTTTTCAGTGTTTTATGAGTGAAGGACATACATTGGGTTGTTAGGTGTATCGTGTCCAAATTTGGTGCCAATTGCCCCAGTGGTTTTCGAGTTCTGTGAATACCACAAACAGACATTACATTTTTGTAAAAAGATAAAAACATGCTTAAAGCAACATATATCTCTCTCATGTCAGGCCTGCATAACCTACAGGAACAAAATGTTCACAAGGGAAACAAGACAGAGGGATTTTATAGCAGGGTAGCTTGTCAAAATACTCTAAGGAAGGATGCTTATTAGCCAGACAGATGCCACCAAGACAATCGACAGTATTTGACACAATAGACTATAAATAATAATAATAATAATAATAATATCCAACATATTGTTATGATTCCATTGTACAGTGAAAGTGGGTGAACATGATTATGGAGAAAAGTATAAAAACAGGAGAGAAGAAGAAAGGGGGATAAGGGAGTGGGTAGGAGGGAGGAGGTAGCAGAATAGAAAAAAATTTTTTTAAATAGCGATAAGGTAAATCAGCGTTGATAATCCATAGAAACCAACACAAATACATTATATTGTTCCTTTTACTTCCAGGTCACTTAATGTGATACTATTTATTTATATTCTTTACACTTGGTTCATGTCCATTTATGTATGCCCAAGGCATATGACTTATAATTGACCCTTAGGACTTTTTAATTCTATTTTTATATAGATTTGTAGTTGCTGTTTTTTTTAAGAAACTAATAAAGTTGTGGGTTGTTGTAGGTTTTTTCAGGCTATATGGCCAAGTTCTAGAGGCATTCTCTCCTGACGCTTTGCCTGCATCTATGGCAAGCATCCTCAGAGGTAGCGAGGTCTGTTGGAACTAGGAAAAGGGTTTATATATCTGTGGAAGGACCAGGGTGGGACAAAGGACTCTTGTCTGCTGAAGCTAGGCGTGAATGTTTCAGCTGACCTCCTTGATTAGCATTTGATGGCCTGGCTGTTGTTTGATGTGGCTTGTTAGTGCCTGGAGCAATCTTTCATTGAGAGGTGATTAGATGTCCCAGATTGAAATGCAAAGATACAGAATGGGGGACGCCTGGCTCGAGAGCAGTATGTGTGAAAAAGATCTTGGAGTCCTCGTGGACAACAAGTTAAACATGAGCCAACAATGTGATGTGGCGGCAAAAAAAGCCAATGGGATTTTGGCCTGCATCAATAGGAGCATAGTGTCTAGATCTAAGGAAGTAATGCTACCCCTCTATTCTTCTTTGGTTAGACCACATCTGGAATATTGTGTCCAATTCTGGGCACCACAATTCAAGAGAGATATTGACAAGCTGGAATGTGTCCAGAGGAGGGCGACTAAAATGATCAAGGGTCTGGAGAACAAGCCCTATGAGGAGCGGCTTAGGGAACTGGTCATGTTTAGCCTGAAGAAGAGAAGGCTGAGAGGAGATATGATAGCCATGTATAAATATGTGAGAGGAAGCCACAGGGAGGAGGGAGCAAGCTTGTTTTCTGCTTCCTTGGAGACTAGGACGCGGAACAATGGCTTCAAACTACAAGAGGAGATTCCATCTGAACATGAGGAAGAACTTCCTGACTGTGAGAGCCGTTCAGCAGTGGATCTCTCTGCCCCGGAGTGTGGTGGAGGCTCCTTCTTTGGAAGCTTTTAAACAGAGGCTGGATGGCCATCTGTCAGGGGTGATTTGAATGCAATATTCCTGCTTCTTGGCAGGGGGTTGGACTGGATAGCCCATGAGGTCTCTTCCAACTCTTTGATTCTATGATTCTATGATTGTTTCCTCTCTGTTGTTTTGCTGTTGTAATTTTAGCGTTTTTTAATACTGGTAGACAGATTTTGTTCATTTTCATGGTTTCCTCCTTTCTGTTGAAATTATCCTCATGCTTGTGGATTTCAATGGCCTCTCTGTGTAGTATGACATGGTGGTTGTGAGAGTGGTCCACCATTTCTGTGTTCTCAAATAATATGCTGAGTCCAGGTTGGTTCATCAGTTGCTCTGCTATGGCTGACTCCTCTGGTTGAAGTAGTCTGCAGTGCCTTTCACGTTCCTTGATTCGTGTTTGGGCTTTCGTGTAAAGTTGTTCCAATTTGTTTTATTTAAGATTGATTTGTTTTGGGCAATGTTCTGAGTCAATAGATCCATATTCATAATGTCTAAGGCTTTTTCTGCTGGGGAAAGTGGAAGGCAAAAGGAAGAGGGGCCGACCAAGGGCAAGATGGATGGATGGCATCCTTGAAGTGACTGGACTGACCTTGAGGGAGCTGGGGGTGGTAACGGCTGACAGGGAGCTCTGGCGTGGGCTGGTCCATGAGGTCACGAAGAGTCGGAGACGACTGAACGAATGAACAACAACAACAAGGCTTTTTCTATCCACCTATTTGTTGTTGCCGTTTCTTTTGATTTCCAGAAGCGGGCTATGCTTATTCTTGCCACTGTAGCAAGATAAAAGAAAATCTTGTCACTATTTTTTGTCGATTTGGAAGTCTAAAATTCCCAGTAAGAAATATTGAAATATGAAATCAAAATTTAATTGGGCTCCTGAGTGAATGCAGAGACAGCGTAGTGTAGAGGTTGCACTATTTCTGCACATCACTGTAGATTTAATGCAGTTTAAGACCACTTTAACTGCCATGGCTCAATGCTATGGAATCCTGGGATGTATAGTTTGGTAAGGCACCAGTCACTTTTTGACAGAAGGCCAAAAAACCTTATAAACTACAACTCCCAGGAGCCACCACAGTTAACTCAGGCATGGGCAAACTTTGCCCCTCCAGGGCTTTTGGATTTTTATTCTTACAATTTCTGACATCCTCAGGCCCTTCCCTTTTCTCCCTTAGCCACTTAAGCTGGGAAGGGGCTTGAGACTGTTAGGAGTTGTGAGAGTTGAAGTCCAAAGCACCTGGAGGGCCGAAGTTTGCCCATACCTGAGTTAAACTGATGTCAAACTACATTACTTCTACAGTGAGCTTCACTTTATGACTCTGAAGTCCACTTTTTGACTCCCTTCTCAGCCACTGAGTGACCTCTGGGCAAGTCACTTTCCCCCAGGCAAAGGCAAAGAAACAAAACAAATCCTGTTGAGAAAATCTAGTGGTAGGTACGCCTTAGGGGTGCCCTAACTCAGAAATGATTTGAAAGGCACACAACAATAGCAAAACGAACGGATGAACCCTTATTACACCTATACACATATGTTACACTCCACGTCACTCCACTGGTTGCCAATTAGTTTCCGGGTAAAGTACAAGGTGATGATGTATTGTCGAAGGCTTTCATGGCTGGAATCACTGGGTTGTTGTAGGTGATGGTTTTGACCTTGAAAGCCCTACATGGTTTGGGTCCATGTTACCTAAAGGATTGCCTTCTCCCATACAGTCCACTCCACACACTGCGGTCTTCTAGGGGTTGTCTGCTCCAACCAGCCAGAATCCAACTAGCAACCACCACCCAGAGGACCTTTTCATCAGCCGCCCCAAGGCTATGGAACGAGCTGCCAGTAGAGCTCAAACAGCTAAATCGGCTCTCAGAATTTAAGACACAAGTGAAGACCTATCTCTTCTGGCAGGGCTATCCAGACAGTCTTTAAACATAGACTTTTAATGCATGTCCTTTGTTTAATCTCTGTTTTGTCTGTTTTAATATGTATTTCATACAAATACGCTTTGGTATGTCAATTTTAGTGTGTATTTGTGGTGTTTCTGTATTTTAATTATTTTATGACCCACCTCGAGCCAGGCATGTAGCCGGGGGGGGGGGGGCTTGGGGGGCTTCAGCCCCCCCCCCCCCGAAATTCTCATGGTGGTTCGCGAAATGGCCTTACTGGTGCATTATTTAAACTGTTATGTTTATTCATATCATGATCTGATAACCATACTCAATATATCCCATATCATGAGGGTATTGGGGTAATGATACAAAAGGTTTGCTAGGCTAGACCCTCTTTCACTCAGACTCAGCCCCCCCCCCGAGCCCCCCCCTGAAAAAAATTTAGCCCCCCCCCAAAATGAAATCCTGGCTACGGGCCTGCCTCGAGCCATGAAGAGAGGTGGGTAAAAATAAAATTAT